ATTGAGGATCCACCGACACACACACACACACACACACTCACATCTGGTCCACATTAACACCCAAGAGCACAGCCCTCACATCCACAAAACCCCCACTGACAACACGGGCTGGCAAATACCCCCTCTGTTATATTAAGAACATTGAATGGTACCAAACAGCCAACATGAAAATAATTTGTCGAAGAAGGGACTTTTAACTTTTAGCGGCATTATTGAAGTTTTGGACTGCATCCCAATTAATATACTGTGTTTACAGTACAGTATACAGTAATAGCTGAAGAGGAATTATGTACTTTGAAGTATTATATACACAGTTTGTAAGTGTTGTAATGGCACTGCCATGTCATAAACTTGCATCTTGTGTAAATATTAGGATTAAGCTAAATTCATTAGCCTTGAAATTCATCTCAGAACATGTCTGACCCACTCTATGTTATAATAGATTTAATTTAATTGTTAATTTATTTATAGTACTATATAGTTGGTCTCATATACACTGCCCAGCCAAAAGAAGCTGACAATATCTTGACCAAAATTGATGCACCTCTTGATGGAAATAACATCACAACATTTAGGTGCATCAATTTATTGGTCAAGATCATTTAATGACAATGCAAGAGTCGCACTCTGTAAAGTTTATCCAGCACAGTGTGCATATTTTTTAACACATTTATCAGAAGAACTATTAGTTTGGAGGGGTAAAAAATGACCAATATATAGTGAGGTTTATGCTCTTGAGGAAATTCAACAGAGCGTGTGTGGTGTTCGTTTAGTCTCCTCTTTCTCGGCTGGCATGCGTCTTTAGGGTCAACTCCATATTTGATGCAGGGGTCAAGAATCTGATGGCAACCACATGTCTGACTTTGCTCCAAATTAAATACCCCCCCTCAGTAAGAGCTACTGGCAGGAAACACAGTCCAAATGAGTTGAACACAGTTTAATCTGCTGGATTCTCTGTCAAGAAACAAGAAAAAAGACACTCTACACTGTTTTGGAAATGTGATGGTGAGATCTAGGGCTGTAAAGGAGCTCAAGCTATTTCACATAGCGAATGCTTTTACCATACCACCCTCCTGAGCAGTTTAACAGGCCACACAGCCGGTAGAAATGTGTCCAAGTTTACTGGTTGGACTTGGACAGTTACCCTCACCTTAGAGGTTTTGGAAGTTACATTGAGCCGCTACCTTTGATTTGTTGAGACAATTCTGGGCATGGTTGGTGTTCAGGAGAATCTGGCTGATGGGAGAAAACGAGACCCGAAAGGGCTACATGCTAACTACGAGATTGAACAGTCAGCACCTGTACAATGCTTTTGGACGGTTCTTTATGAAAATTCAAGATTATGAGGACGTTGGAGTTGTAGCGTTCTGCCAAACGCAAAAATAATGATAAAAGCAATGTTTCAAAGTTTCAAATGTACTTTCAGGGACACATTAGACACCCCTCCCCCATTTCCTTTTTCTAACATAACTGTTTATGGGATAAAACATTTTCTTTCTTCTTTTTGTAAGGAGCTTTTCATTTTAAAAGCATAGACACTCCTCGAAGCAACACCAGTCAAGATAAAGTAGTTTTCTACTGAGGCTGACAGCATAAAATAGTCATTAAGAGTATTTTGTATATTGAGATTGCGCCCTCTATGCTGTCCACAGTTTGGGAATAGTTTAGCGAGAGAAAGAAACACAATTCAATTTAGATTTAAAGTTCTGTATCAGTCACCAAGCCCTTTGCCAAGAAGACCACAAGTGGTTCAATCACTATGCCAGGAAATTCCAGTGGCTGAAAGAACATTTCTAAGTATCAAAAATATCCATCTGCTTGTTTTGGCTGGCGGTGTGTCATATGAACGAAAATGCTGCACTGGCTGCTCGAGCTATGTTTTTCTTTTGATATTGGAGGATTCAATTATAGCCTTTAATGTCATGGAGTAAATTCCGTTCATGCTTTGTGATGATATTTTTGAGTACTTTACAATGAAGGAGTCGTTCAGTCAGGTTGTTTATGACTGATGTTTCCCTCATGGTCAAGACTGAAGCTTCTGTTCAATGATTAGCAGAATCACTCCGCAGGTTTTTGTCCTGTCACTTTGTCCCCCACAAATCATCCACTAACACTCTTTATTTGGACAGACAACTTAATGTGAAAAAAGAGGAACAAATCAGGGGGTGTTGTTTACGTATTTGCACTAGGTCACAATTTTTCCTGTCGGATGGAGACAGATCCAGGGGAAGGAAATGCTATTGTGGTCTTCTTATTGTGGAAAAGAGAAGAATTATCACCAGATATGACAGTGTCTGGACTTCCTCCGTCTTTTCCCATTCCTTTAAACAAACAATGTCTAGTTTAAAATGAGAATTTCTGGCCTTTTCCCAGGATTTGTAATAGGCTGTGTTTGTATTGGCATTCATTTGCACTTTCTTTATTAAATAAACTATTAAGTGTAGTGCTAAAAAAAAACATTCTAATCATATTAATGCATGGTTGCTTTATCTGGAATTCTACAACACTTTTCTCTCTCAAAATTCTACTGTATATGATCTGTGTGCTTTTCCAAACTGCACAGCAAGTTTAAGCCTGAGAAATGGACTTTAGTCAGGGTAGACTCCATATTTTACATGAATTAGAATCAGAAGGCATTATGACATGGATTTTATATATCATTTTAATCTTCCTTGAGGTTCATGTATACAAAGCCCCTAAAAGGGACAAATATGGAATGTGAGGAAAAAACATTTTTCAAAGCTTTTACGTTCTCTCGCAAAACTTTTGAGTTCCCCCTAGAAATTCTGCGAAACACTGTCTCGCAAACATATTTGCGTTCTCTCGCAACACTTTTGTGGCCTCTTGCAAACATATTTATGTTCTCTTGCAAAACTTGTGAGTTCGAACAAACACTTAATGTTTTATGTCCTGCTGGCAGTGTTTCAGACAGCTCCATACTTGAACAATGGAGCGGTTCATAGGGTTTTATTTTGAACTTGGACTTAAAGGAATATGGTCAGTGCTTAGTTAACGGAGTTCAGTAAAGTTGCCAATACATTCACAGATTTGAATATAATTGAGTTGGGCCAACTTAATTTTGACAATTTTAATTAAGTTGGGCCAACTTAATTTTCAAAAATTTAAATTCTAAATATTGATTATTGAGTTGAGCCAACTTAATTTCGGAAAATTTAAATTGTTGGGCCAACTCAATTTTGGAAAATTTTAATTTTAAATATTAGTTATTGAGTTGGGCCAACTCAATTTAATTGAGTTGGGCCAAGTCCATTTTGGAACATTTTAGATCTAAATATTAATTTAATTGAGTTGGGTCAACTTAATTTTGAACAATTTGAATGGAGTTGGGCCAACTTAATTTTGAACAATTTAAAATCTAAGTATTAATTATCGAGTTGGGCCAACTTAATTCATTTGAGTTGGGGCCAAATTAATTTAATTGAGTTGTGCCAATTTAATTTTGAACAATTTAAATTCTAAATATTGATTGTTGAGTTGAGCCAACTTAATTTTGGAAAATTTCAATTGAGTTGGACCAGCTCAATTTTGGAAAATTTTAATTCTAAATATTAACTATTGAGTTAGGTCAACTTAATTTTTGAACAATTTAAATTGAGTTGGGCCAACTTAATTTTGAACAATTTAAAATCGAAATATTAATTATCGAGTTGGGCCAACTTAATTCATTTGAGTTAGGCCAAATTCATTTAATTGAGTTGGGCCAACTTAATTTTGAACAATTTAAAATCTAAGTATTAATTATTGAGTTAGGCCAACTTAATTTTGAACAATTTAAATTGAGTTGGGTCAACTTAATTTTGGAAAATTTAAATTGTAAATATTAATTATTGAGTTAAGTTGGCCCGACTCAATAATTAATATTTCGATTTTCATCATTATCCTTATGGTGTTTATGCCACCCTTAATTTAATTGAGGTGGGTCAACTTAATTTTGAACAATTTAAACTGAGTTGGGTCAACTTAATTTTGGAAAATTTAAATTCTAAATATTAATTATTGAGTTGGGCAAACTTAATTTTGAACAATTAAATATTAATTAGAATTAAAACAGAATTAACAGAGAAAGAAAACCGCTGGTGTTGGAGTGACAGCAGGGCAAGAGGCCTGCAAATAAATTCCTCCTTAGGGGAAAAACAAAACACAAACAAAACAACACGGCAGGTTAATGTAAGGATGTAGTCTTTAAACATGTCTCCAGCTGCCATTAGATTCCATGTAGACACGACTGCAAGCGAAAGGTAAAATGATGTATATACTGTATTTCTACATCATTATCCTTATGGTGTTTATGCCACCCATGCAATAGAATATTTTTTTTTACAGTTGTATCTACAATCCTTAATGTGTACATCTGTACACTTGTCTGCTGCTTACTCCATCTAGATGTATATTACTTTCAGTTTTTTACCTTAAATCTACATGTTAAGAGGTTTCAAGAGTCAGCAAGATCCAAATCGGCACAGCAAACAAAGGGGCTTTACTAAACCAACTCGAACTTTCCCATTGAAAGAAACCTCCTGCTTTGCACATTTTTCACACCATCTACCTATGACATTTGGGCCAAATGTCTATAAACATAGCTTTATAGCACAAACTAAATAGGCTAGTACTTTTGTTGTGTATGAAGAAAGTTTTCAAAAATGAACACAGAGGTTAATACCGAAACATTTAGTCATGATGCTTCTGTTCAGGCAGTTCACACTGTGATTTATTTTTCTAACTCAATTCCCTAATGACTCATTCATCATGTGAATATCCATCTCAGACATGATTTATTGCATTTTCATTGGTGAAATGTGAATCTGTTTTAGGCTGTTCGATCTCAAGCTGACTTCCTGTGTGCACAGTGCAATCTTTCGCCTGTCATTCGCTTGCGCTGCAAATGCCTCAGTGATTTTAGATGTGATATGGTCTGACATCCATGTGTGTGTGTGTGTGTGTGTGTGTGTGTGTGTGTGTGTGTGTGTGTGTGTGTTTGTCATTGTATAGACGAAGGCCCAAGATATACAGAGGACACGGGCAGAACCAGAGTGAGAAGCGTGATCCATCTGAAACAACAGTGCACCATGAAGAGGAACTGACTGCTTTATATGGTATAGTAAATCTTAGTGCTTTTCTTTGTAGGCTAGTTCTATATGTTGTTGGTTTTTTTTTTTTTTTTTTTTTGCTTTGTTGTGCTTTAATTCGCTTTTCTTCTTTGGTTTTGTTTTGTCTTTTCTTTTTCAACAACTGTAAAAGGTATGCTTATCAAAATCTAAAGAAACTATTTATTAATTCCGCAATAATACAAATTGAATTAATATTTTAGAATTACTAATGTACTAAAGAAGTTCACTCAGTTAAATTAAGAAAAGTAATGGCATTTCCTGTAGGAATTTCTTTTGTGGAACAAAAACAAGGCCTTTCCAAGATATCACCATTTTCATTGAAAAACAGCTTCAATTTAGTTTGTTCATCACACAAATCTGCTATATGGCATGCTTTATTGAGCTTGAAAAGTTATACCTTCTTAAGGCCAAGCTGTTAAAGTTAAGATAATGGGTAATATCTTAGTTATACAAGTGCATTTGAATCTCTGAGTGTGCATACTCAAACAGCATGTATACAGCAATGATGTGAACAATAGTGAAAGAGAAAAGCCAAAGTCAGCAGGAAGTTCTGTATGACTGTAGTGGATGGGATTATTTCCTTTAAAAAAAAAGGAGCAGGGGGGTGGACACAGGAAGTGTGGTAAGATCCAGCAGGCGCACATGACCCCAGGTCTTCGCGTTTTCTGTGGCGCCTGCTATGCAGTGTGTATTGAACCAGGCGCAGAACTGTCATAGGGAGGATATATTTGTTTGGGGTTGTAAATATAACCTCTTTAAACTCTTGCCCTCATACTGTATGTGAGGGTGTGGCAGCATTTGTTGACCCCTGGAAATATGAGTCTTCCTTATGAGTTCACAGTTAGAAGGGAAAAGAGTCAGAGAGGAAATACACTACGGACACATACACTACAGGAAAGGAAAAGGCTGTGGATGCACGTCAATAGGGAGGAGAATTGTATCGTGTACTTTATGCAGATACAAAAGAGTCTGACTACTGGCTACACTCCATTTAATGGAGAAGGAAATGGGCCCCACTTGCTGCTGGCAATTCTGACCTTTTGACCTCACAAAAGGGGCTCACATGGATTGACTGTAGACTTGTTCAGTATATTTTTACTGAATATATATATATATATATATCTAGTGTGTCTCATAGTGCCAGAGAATTATGTGATTAATGCTCAGTATGATTAATCAGATAGGCCTACCTTTCTTTTCTTTTCTTTTTTTGGAACACAGAAGCTTGACATTTGGCCTAGTTTTTGTTTGTGCTGAAATTCTATTTGAGTTTTGTATTCTGAACTTTTTGAAAACTTACTGCAATTTTATAATATGAATATTTACAGCTAATTTTACCTCTAAAAAAATCAGAACTAAAAACAAACCTGTTAGAAAAAAAATATAAAATACACCACAAAATTTTTGTTTTTGTCAGAAAACACCCAGAATATATTAGCAGTGCCCAAGCAACCACATTTTAGCATGTGCTAAAACAAGCACTGCTCATGTTTAACAATATTAGTTTCCATTTTTTTATCCGGTAGGTTTGGAAACACACGATAAAGCCAGGATGAATGTGAAAAGGAAGGAGATGGATTTCTTGAGCAACACTATTGCTGCTTATGCTCACATTAAAGGTCAGTGCTTTCCCCATTTTTAATATTTTTAACATGCAACTCAGGTTTAAAGAACAGCAAACTGATATGGAGATGTTCCAATTACTAAACCTGACTTGTTTCCCTCTCCATCCAGCAAATCCAGAGAGTTTCGGCCTTTACTTCGTCATCGGCGTCTGTTTTGGCCTGGTGCTCACTCTCTGCCTCCTGGTCATCCGGATTTCCTGCAAGCCTCGTGCCACTACGGCACCCTCCACACCGGAGAAAAAACAGCTGAAAGACTACAGTGAGGAGGAAGAGGAAGACGAGGAGAGCGATGATGATGAGGAGGAGGAAGATGCAGGAGGCCTGGAGTCCTCGGTCCGACACAGCACCACAGAGATCCCCATGAGCAACCACCTCATCACGCCGGATGGGACTCTGAGCAGGAACGTGTTCACCTCAGCCGAGGAGCTGGAGCGGGCACAGCGATTGGAGGAAAGGGAGAGGATCATCAGGGAAATCTGGAGAAATGGACAGCCGGATATCCTGGGAACAGGCACGGGCACTATTGGAAGAGTGCACTACTATTAATGCTCCCAGAGACTCCTGGACATAAACTCAAGCCATTTCACTGCTTGAGTGCAGTACTTTTAAAGACTGTTAACGGATGGTGTTTCCATTATATATTTTTTATATGTTGGACTGATGTTATTGTAATCCTACAGACCATGGGTACAGCTGTTTTGTATGCAACATTTGGACTGGGAAAGTTGCTATCGGTCCCCAAGTCACGGTGCTTATTGAAAAGTCATTCCGACTTTATTGTTGATGTTTAAAAAAATATTTGTGAATTGTAGCTGATAATTAGAAGCTCACAGAAAGCAAATGCACTTTTGCACTATGCCATTTATTGTTTTTCTGCTATTTTTTTGTCATAAAAAAAAAAATCCCCCATGTAAGTCACATCAAGCCTTAACTCAAAGATTATAAAGCCACACATAGCTAAAGAATGCACAGATATTAAAATTCAACATCGACAAGATAATTATTTTCATGATTTACTATTTTGTCTAAATAAAAATAAAATAAAACATTGTTTTAAATGCTATTGTTTTAAATGATACAAAGTGAAATGGGCATCACAACATTATAATGTACAATATGAAAATAGGATATTTACTTTGATATTTTCTAAATATTACATTAAAGGTACACTATCTAACTTTTTTGTTCAAAATTAACTACATTTAAATGTCAATACATCAATCCTTCCTCCAAAGTGTGTTTTTGACTTATGGTAAGCCTTTTATAAGTGTTCATATTTTAGACCTGTAGGAATGCTTTTCACAGGAAATTGTGTACATATATTGTACATCACTCACCCGTGCGTGTCTCATATCTGTAAATAGGGAAAAGTTGCTCTGGGTACTTTGACGCATGTATGGTGTTGAAGTGGCATAGGTTAGTTGTCACAATGAGCGAGAAAGGTTGACATGGAGCACACTAAATCTTGAATCTCTGGAGAATCACCTGTTTTAAAAAAATGAGACAAAAGAGAACGCGACAGAGCTTGTAATAAAACGAGAATCAACATCGGCTTGGCATTTCATTATGGTTGTGCTGAGCTGGAATCTATTTTCAATAAAGTCTATTAAGTGTCTATTAATGGATATAGCTTCAGTAACATCTTCAGCTCAGCTTGAGATCCTTTCCATCTAAACTGATTATATGTCTTAAGCCTATTAGTGAATGTTTTATGAGCAGTATGATAACCATATTCATCCGCACAACCAAAACACAACCAAAACAATGTTCTTCCGCAAAAAAGCTTCATGTGTACCTTCAATGCTTGTAAGTTTAATGATGACCATTAATGGATGATAGTAAACTATACAAGTTATAAATATATATATAAAAAAGATGGGCAAATAAGAATAAACAAATGAAACATTCAATACAGACCAATATCAATCAATTAAAAATGAATTCTAATATCAACTTCGTGCATTCCTAAATATAGCCAAAAAACATCCTGCTCAACATGGGTCATGCTCTCAGGATCTCTAGAAACAGGGTTATAGCAATCAGAAGATGCAGTTTAAAACAATCAAGGGTTCATTTCCCAATCAGTCATTTACAATAAGACTCTCATATAGGTGAGTATATATGGGTAATACATATCAAATGGCATAATTGCACACCTGATTATTCAGAACTTCATGTATTTTACAATAAATTAAATGGTAAAATAAAATTAAATAGGCCAAAATCAATGTTTTGTGGACATCGTGTCTTTCACGTTCAAGTTATATATTTGCTCACCAAGTGGATGTTATTGTATTATTGTTTAATTTCCAGTTCCAGTTCATTTTGATTTAAATATTGAGCTTTCCATGCATCGAAAACAAAACCCAAACAATTAAACCAAAGCGTAACAATAACTCTTGAGTGCTTACGAAGAACCAGATGCTATAATATTCCTAATGAAACAACTTCTGTTATTGTTTACATTTATGAAGTACATTCTGATATAAAGATGTTATGAAGATATTTCAATTTGTGAACTGCTAATATGACACATAATATGTAGAACCCATATAACATTAAGGACAAGCCCAAACAACGGAAAGAATGTGAGTTTATCTTGATTGACGTTACTATGTCATCACAGCAAATGAACCTACAAACCTTTCTATTTGGAATTAGTCTGTCTGTCATTAAAAAAATAGACCATTCCCAATGATTAGTCAGACTATGAAAATCTAATGTATTCCACATGGTTTCCAGATGCTGTTTTCTGTCTGAAGGGACACTAAACCAGCCTCAGTCTCATGCTAATTCTCCACGAAGGGAAATTAACTTTCAAATTCTGTTAGTGACAAAGCAAACTCTATTCATGCCATTCACAAAGCAACTTTTAAAAAGCATTTGCAGTGTTGTCAAAATAGACCTGGAGCCAATTGAATTGTCTTGTGTCATTCCAAAAGATTTATTTTCCATCAGACCACTGGGGTTATGGAAAAAAAAAAAATGTATCTAGGAATATTTGATTACTTTATGTTTAAGGTTGCTTGCATTTAGATACCAGATCTGTATTTATATGTCATTGATATCTTCCACTCCTGAAATAAATCCATCTTGTTTCATAGTCTTAACACAGATAAAACTAGTTGCATTCAAAAAAGGCATCAACTCATGTTTATAATTTAAGTTTCTGAGTTAATCAGGTTTGGAGCAAAAACATTTGACCATCAGCGGAATTATTTATTGATTTATTTTCTACAGAATACCACAAAACCGAAACATGTTATTAATAGAATGTGTGTTAATACGTTAAAATATGCCTAGTTTAATCGTGAATATTTGATATTTACACATTTCAAAATGCACACATATACATATATGTATGTCTTAAAAAAAACAAGTGGAGAGGACTCCCAAAACCAAATGAGCTGATAAGCAGTATATGAAAAACCAAACGTCTTTTTGTAGTTCTGCTCCCTGAATGGAGCTCAGCCTTCTGGTCCACTGGATTAGGAATTATTCAAGTTGCAAATGCTGGATTTCCATATCTGTCTGCACATTTGTACATTCCTCAACACTCCATCATTGTCTTTCTGTAGCCTTTATCTCCATGGCCCAAAGAAGGATCACTTGGGGATTGTGAAATATTCCTGGTGTTCAATGGACACTATTTTTTCCTCAGAGCCTCCACTTCATCCTATAAATATAAAAATATTGATTAATAAGTTGTACTTCGCATTAAGGGAAGCTTAGCATTAAGGTGAGACTATATTTAAATTCGACAGTGTAAAATCTACAGGTAAACAATCTGCATCAGGGTAGAAGAGATAGATGGTACTTTTTTTTTTTTTTTTACTTCCAGATATATATTTGGCTATTTTTAAGGTTGTTTACGGATAAAATAGGAATCTTATGTCTACGGTTATGTGATGCAGATGTTTTGTCAGTTCTATCATGTTGAAGAGGTTGTATTTTTAACTCACTGCTGCTCTCTTGAGGATAAAGACAGTATTTATTTGACTGGATTTATTTCAGTTTTTTTTTTTTTTTTTTTTACTGAAATAGCATGACAATTGAATGAGAAACTGAAAAAAAATCAACTTATATCTTGTAAAAGAGAAAAAAATAGGAGACTTTATTATCTTCACAGAATAGACTCAAATCTCACCACACTCACCTGTAATCTCATCCGTTTTTCGGACTCATCCTTCAGTTCATCTTTAAGGTCATTTATGTCTCTCCTGGTGAGGTAAAGCAAAGAGGAATATTGCAATAAAAGAAATGTGTGATATGATCATTCAGGGGTGGTAGTCAGGTTTATACTCACTCGTGCCGTGCTTTGAGGAGATCCAGTGACATACGGAGATCTTTGAGTTCTATCAGCACAGAGGCCAGTGATGCAGTCTCCTCCTGAACCCCAGCTTTGCTTTCAGTGTGTGTCTTGGGTGGTAAAGTGCTCTTAGTTCCCTGCTCTGTCTTGGCAGGAGGAGCTGACTGAGGCTCTGTAACCTGTGAACAAATACCAGCAGCTGAGCAACTTAGGGATGAAATCCTAGGACAATGTGTTAACAAATGGCTGTACATCACAGTTCAAAAGTTTGTGGTCAGTACTTTTTCTTTCTTTTTTTTAAGAAATATATACTTTTATTCAGGAAAGAGGAATCAAAAGTGACTAAAAACATTTTTTTTTAAATAAAACCTGTGCTTTTAAACTTTCCATTCATCAAATATTCTAATGTTTCGACAAAATTATTAAGCAGCACAAATGTTCTTAACATTAATAATAATATGAAATGTTTCTTATGCACCAAATCAGCATATTAGAATGATTTCTGAAGGATCATGTGACACTGAAGACTGAAGTAATGATGCTGGAAATACAGCTTTGCATCACAGGAATAAATTACATTATAAATACATTCAAATAGAAAACACATTTGAAATTGTAATATTCCACAATATTACTGTTTAGCTGTATTATGTTTGATCAAATAAATGCATTCTTGGTGAGCATAAGAGACTTCATTCAAAAACATCTTACAAACCTCACACTTTTAAACGGTGGTATATATCAGACGTTTAAGGAGATGTTTTATAGACAAAAATAATTCCATAACATAATATTAATTTTCCAACCTTTGGTAACACTTTAGAACAACATTCATTAATAGGCCCTCAAATATTATATATATTATATAATGCTTTACAGATCAATAGTTCATGTACATTCAAATATGAATATTTATGATATTATAGGCCTATATGAATTACAATTTCTTATATTTGAAGGTAATCTGATCTGTGAAGCATTATATAATGTTATAATATTTTTAATGAAAGTTATTGTAAAGAGTTATCCAAACCTCTGGAATATTTTGTGGTAATCCATCTTTCTCCCCTGAAGTTTCATTGTGGTCAGTTTCATCTAGAACCTTTATGAAAAACAGATGTTAATTGGATTATTTATCAAGACATTATACTGAATATTTTTTTTTTTATATAATATTATGTAATTATTATATATATATAATCATGATTATTTTAATTGATTGACAGCCCTAATTTTTGATTTTCCTCATTTTTATCATCATTCTCCATGCACATCCCCAGACATGCTTTGGCTTGAGTGCTGCATCTTAAGCTTTGAAAACCACGTTTAATTAAACATTTTTAGGCTTGATTCATTAAATTGAGAACAGTTTGTTTTGTTGCAATTCATCTCGTCCCCCTGTGGTGAAAACCAAGTTTTTAATGCTGTTTATAGGTCTATGTAGTGTTTTAAAATATGCTTTAATTAAGACAAACCATGTGCAAATTCAGAAGTCAACACCATTGCTGCTGAGTATTTTCTCCTTAAAACTGCAGTGAACCAAAGACAGTCTCAAAAATGCGGTTTGAAATCGCAGTTGTTCTCTACGTCATAAATATGCTGTAACCAATCCCATCAACGTGCAGGGCGGGCTTTAGCATATCATTAGCAATACAGCAGGTGAATTATGAATATGATGTATATTAGGATGTTATGATGAACTATATGCCTTTCTCCACTGACATTCTAAGTTGTTCAAAGCGTTTCTAAGAATGAGGATTTTTAGAAGGCAGCTGACTGACTCTGAGATGGCGAATGGGAACATGGTTTGTGTAACATTAGCAGCATATTATTAGCTGATTGATAACGTAGTCAAGCCAAAGCCTAATCATATTAATTACCGTTATGTGTCTGTCGTTGTTTATAGAGAGCCATGCAAAAAACGCATTACCATTCTGACACATCGACTTATATATAGACGACCCTGTGTAATTCACTCTTACACTTCTTCTGAATCAGTTTCTGGTTCAACATAATAAGACTGAATTAAACCAGTTTTTCCACTTGCCATTGTGTAGTGTTTACTACAGTAAAGTTGACCGAGTGTATCAGGTATTTAAACTGGTGTGATTGAGTGGAGGCGGAGACTAATTTGAATATTCATGGTTCCGTGTATAAGGGGTGTAGAGTTACATTCAAGCTATTTTAAGGCATGAAGAAATTATTTTCACAGGAAATGTTTAAATATTTCATCTTGGTGTTCAAAGATGAGTTTTAAGGGATAAAATGATTGACTACAGGGGGACTTTAAGCTAAAAGCCAATCAACAAAATCCTGAAGCGTTTATGAATGCCACGTCTGTGCCTTTGTGTTAAGCTCACTTGTGTGACAGTGGCGAGGGCTGTTGGTGGTCTTCTCTGTGGAGGTTTGGCTCTGTTGGCCGTGGGATGGCTCAGTTTCTCTGAGGACACGTCTACACCGTCAAACTGGTCAGGTGTCTTATCTTTTACATCCTTAGTGTCTTTAACCTCTTTCTGTACTGGCGAGGCAGGGGGCTGTTGTCTCGGTGAGACAGCTTGTGGCTCTTCATTTCTAAGGGGAAAAAATGCATTTTGCATATTACACACATACAATATATTAAAATTCAATACAGGTTTTTTGTGTGTGTGTGTGTGTGTATATGTGCATTGGTTTAAGAGAGTGAGGTCATTAAGTGTTTGCGGAAGGGGTGCGTCTCCAGCTGCTTCTAAATTTGTAAATGGTAAATGGTAAATGGACTGCATTTATATAGCGCTTTCACAGACCCAATGGCCACCAAAGCGCTTTACAATTTTGCCTCACATTCACCCATTCACTCACTCATTCATACACCGACGGGCGACGGCAGCCATGCAAGGCGCTATCCACCTCGTCGGGAGCAGCTGGGGTTAGGTGTCTTGCTCATGGACACCTCGACACTTGGTCAGGTGGAACCGAGGATTGAACCACCAACCTTCCGGTTTGTAGACAACCCACATGAACCACTGAGCCACTGCCGCCCCATTTGTGTCTAATGTGTCTTAAAGTTTTGGGAGCTTTTTCAAACAACACATTGCTTTGATTTCTTTTGGAAAATTATAAGATTAACTGTTAAATGCTTGTAATGTCTTAGTTTGTGTGCATGCAATTCTGTCAGAATGACAGTTCTTTCTGTAAGCTCTGCCTTGAGCACATGGCAGTTTCTGTTTTTTTATATGCTCACTTAGAAAAACAGGAAACAGGCAGTTTGACTTTGTTTAGTCCCTCAGCAACTCATTTAATTTCCATCGCTCTTTACAAGACTGAACATTCACAGGCCCTTTAGAATAACACATAGGGCCCTATCTTGCACTCGGCACAAATGACTTTGTACACTGACGCATGCATCATTCCTATTTTGCACCCGCGCAAAGCGGACTTTTCCCTCCACAGACGCACGTCGGTTAACTAAGAAATACACTTGCGCTCCCCGGGGCGGTTCAGCGCAAAGAGGAGGCGTGTTCCGGCGCAAACTTTCCCTCATGCTATTTTGCTGTTCTATAAAACAAATGCGCCACTGACCAGAAAAAAACCTAGTCTAAAGTCAGTGGCGCGTTGTTCATTATGCTATTTTAAGGGCGCATGCTTGGCCATAATCAATGTAGCGTGTGCACAACGCGCATACACTTTGATTCTCTCATCTAAGCAGCAGTTTTCATTTTTGCAAAAGATAGATAGATAGATAGATAGATAGATAGATAGATAGATAGATAGATAGATAGATAGATAGATAGATAGATAGATAGATAGATAGATAGATAGATAGATAGATAGATAGATAGATAGATAGATAGATAGATAGATAGATAGATAGATAGATAGATAGATAGATAGATAGATAGATAGATAGATAATTTATTATAAAAAAGCATACATGTAACTTACACATTTACCCAAATTATCATACGCCTGTTTAACAGAAGTTAATTTGGGTGGGTTTCTCCATCCCCAATGTCACTTCTCTGTGTTTTACGGCCCTGACGAGAACGTTGCTCTCCTCGGCTATGAACCGCTCCTGGCGCGCGCCTGGCAAATCCGCCGTTATAATAGGAATCCGCTTTAGAACAAGCGCGCCTGCTCTTAAAGGGAATGTGAGATGGCGCTCTGATTGGTTTATTTCACGTTACGCCCAAACCACACCTATGAATAATGAAGATACTTCAGACCAACCCCTTTTAGATTTGCGCCAGGCGCAAGAGGCATTTATCCCGCCGGGAAAATAGCAACAGCGCCGGGATCCGCCCACAAAGTTACTTGCGCTTTGACACTTGCGTTTCAGATCGTTAAAATAGGGGCCCATAATGCTAAATGACTATCTGTCGAGGAGGAATTCAGTCCCTGAGGAAAATAACGTTGACCGATGAAAGAGGATTTTATTTCTTTATTTATGTTTCAGATTTCTTATATATTTGGTGTTCCTTGTGATGAGAGTCTCATGAAAAGCATCACAGAAGGTTGTATGCTCTAACATGATTTGCTAAGGCATCACTTACTTTGGTACTAGTTTTATGGGCTTCTCTTTGGCGGGTGGTGGAACAGGTGGTTTGTGTAGACCAGGCAACTTGATTTTACCAGGTGGGTCACTTCGAAAGTCTTTAGTGTCTGGTTTCTCACCTGTGTGCAAAGACAAGAGATAAATACCATCATATTGGGTAAATTTCCTTAGACAGCAGTGCTTAAGTGAAGTAATAAATGTTAGACATGTAATATAAATAAATATTTCATAAAAATTAAATAGTTTTAGGGTGTGTTCACAGTAACATTTGTAGTTCGGTTCTCGGTTCTTTTGGTCCAGACCAAGAGTGAAAACGATACATTTAGTCCGGGTTCACTTAGTGTTCACACTGTCATTTTTAACACTGAACCCTAAAGATTAAAAAAAGGCTTTTATGATGCATGTTTTGCGACAGAACTTACTGGACATCCAAAACAATGATGTGTGCTGGATTAAATGTGTAGGTATTTTTACAAGCCAAGAACTCACAAAAAGCTTCGAAAATAGTCAAAACAGACAAACTGTACTGGTTTAACATCGTAACTATGACGAGAAGAACCAGGTATGTTTGAGCATTCTGTCCTTTTTAGAGATTGAGACCCACCTTTTCAGAGCTCTCGGCCCGCTAGTTTGGTGCGCACAAGGGTTCAGATGGCAGTGTTCACAGTTATTTAAATTAACCGCACTTACAGAGCAATCGGAGTTCGATTTAATCTAACCAAACCTGTCAAATGTGAACACACCCTTAGATATAAATTTACTCCAGAATAAGACGTTGTTATACTTTTAAAGGTAATAGGTTCAGAATTATTACTTTTAGTCTCTGTCTTTGGTTTCATATCTGAGGTGTTCTGGTCCATCACTGGCATCTGATTCCCTGAGATATAAGAAGATACAAGCATTATTAGTTTTTTCCATCAATGCAACAAACATATGTAAATGTCATTGTTGCTTCTTCTTCTCAAAGTTAATGGAAGCCGAATGTTGGCATTCCCTCCCATAAATAATAAAGCCCAAGGCACTTGCGTGGGGTATAATATTAAAAAGGCATTAGAGATGTTAGATTAAATGGTCACCCGGATGAAGGCTCTGTTGCATTGTGTAGGTTGTGGATTTTAATATAAAATCCCAATTTTAATAAAGCCTTTTTAATAACACACCCCACACGAGAGGACAGTTTCTGGATGGACTGCCAGAAGGCCAGCCAGAATCCTTAAAGCTATTTTTGTAACCATTCTCTTTACACACTTTAAAATTAACATCACAAAATAAACATCACTTTGAAGCATTCTCACAACTAAACAGGACCAATGCTGGAGGTCTCAGTGGCATGAGAACTTGTAACTTTCACTGACAAATGAGCATTTGTTTCCTGTGGCTACACAAAAAAATTCTCATGGGTTCCCTGAATAAACCCGCATGGGTTTAAGCATGAACAGTAATTAAACTGTGTCCTACAATACAGACCAGATATCTGTCCTCATTCAGAATTAGTCTTGTACAGTCAAAATAAAAGACATTAAAGACTAATCTAAGTCAAAATCAAATGGATGCACTGATCTTGCCAGAGCCATAAATATAACATGTAATTATTTTGAGTAAACAACCCCTCTCATCACATCCCATCGACCACTATGACAAGATCTTTTCTTTTGAAACCAAATCTTCTATTAAAAAAACAATTCTATGACTTATGTAATTGCAGGACAAGTGATATAACTGCAAATGCATCTGGAAAAGAAAAGAAAAATCAGAAGAATAAATAAACTCTATACATACCCCGACAGTTTTTCAACATCACAACCCTATATTCTTATGAAAATGAAGGCGTATATATAGAGAGAAGAGGGGTGCTTCACTCTGCCCTTGCCTTCCTCTAGAGTCTGCTCAAATGATATCTCTTCATGGCCTACAACAACTTCCTGTCACAGCCCCACACAGCTGCATCAGTGTTTCGTAGAGCGGTTTGTGGTCATGTGTAAGAAAGTCAGATTCAGCACAGAACAGATTTTTGCACCACATTTCCAGGCTTTTAACACCACGTTAACACTGTAAGAGAGACAATTCCGCAGCAAAAAAACATGACCATCCAGGGGGAAATGGCAGAGAGTTTCACGCTTGAGTGCAAAACGAAACGTGAGGTGAGCAAAAAGCCTACTTCCTGTCCAAGAAATGAGTTGTCAATAACAGGTGCAGAAACTGCGTTTTAAAGTTTGTAGTTTCCATCAGAGAGTTTTTGTGAGCTACCAACCATAAGCTAACTTGTTAATTCCTCAGAAAAGTCAGGCTGAATAAAAATAAAATCATATAGCATAATAAGGGCTGTCGAGCACTGAATAAAGTTCATAGAACAGTCATAAAACTGTGTAGATGAAAAAAACATACAGTTCAGTTGTCCTTATTTGTGCATGATGTGAAAATAATAATAGTAATAAAAGTAAAAAACAACTTGAACTTCCTCTAGTTAAGATTCTAAGTGATATCTAATAAGGATTGAGTCTCATTTCAAATAAGGGAAGTATGTGAGTGACTACTGTGGGTTAGACAATGATGACATATCCTTCATTAAAACCACAACTCAAGAGTCATTGTGTATATTTACCACTAATGAATTCCAGCTTTACTGGCATTCAAGTATTTTTGTCCTTTGATAAAATATATTCTTATTTGATGAAGACATCTGAGTTGTTATAAAGACAAAACAGTTTATAAAGAATTTGATTTTATATATTCAAATTCTGTTTATCAAGCTATACTATTTTATAGTATATAACTTTGAATGGACTTTTGTATATTGATTTACCGATACTATATTAAAGATGGACAAAAATAATATTTTCCCAAAACAAAAAGTCTCCCCATGCAGGATACAAACCAACAACCTTTCGATTCAACCATTTAAAAAATGACAGTATGAAGTGCTTCAAGTACGGCCTGACATGTTTTCCATCTAATTAAACCTGCTCACTCACACCCCTATAATCTCTTAATGCAACGATTTCTAGCAACATTTCCAGCTACTGCACGTTCGATATAATCTGAAGAATCTTGTCGAACCAGCCCTGCCGTTATGACAGGTGCTGATGTCTTACCTGATTTTTTCTGAGAGCCAAGTCTCACCGGTGTCTGGCCTGCATTCCCAGTCTGCGTAGAAAACGAGAAATTGTCACCCAAATATGGATTAGTCCTTTTGAGCAGGTTAACGCTCACACTCTTTTCATGTAGGAAGAATCAAGTCACTGGTTTCAGTGTTCCTCTCCTCTAATGGAAACCTCTGAGTCAATCTCTTTTAATAAGCCCAAAGTAACAGGAAGAAAATACAGTAATGTTTAGACCACAGTTAGCTGTCTTGTGTATCAAGGCATTAAAAACAGATTTATAACCTCCAGTTCGTTCCACCTTAAAACAAACCAAACTATTTGTAAACTAGAATGAATGTCCTTGGCCTTAAATCGGTTTTCTGAGCCAGCGCATTAGTAAAAGCCCAGAGCAGTGTTGACAAAAGGGAGACTCCCATTCTCTAACAGTACACAAATGGGCCAATCATGAGAACATTTCTCTGTCCCACACTCACATGAAGAGCATCCCTTGGGATCACCATGACGAAGTTATCAGGAAAAAAGCCCCTGTCTCCGTTCAGTTCCCCCTCCCACCAGCCATCGTCCTCAGTGGCCTTCAGGGAAAAGAAAAAGAAAAGAAAAACACAAAGCTGACTCACTGAGCAGGAAAAGATACTAACTTGTGTATGGGGTATAAACAAACAACTGAGGACGTTGTCAGTTATGAATACACATATGATAGCACTCCATTCTCTTTTTGTTTCATATACACACTACTTAGAAAAGTTTGGGTTCAACAAAATATTTTTTTAAATAAATTAATATTTTTATTCAACAAGGATGCATTACATCAATCAAAAATCAGGATATTAGAATGATTTCTGAAGGATCATGTGACACTTTGGAATGGCTGATGAAAATTCAGCTATGCTATCACATGAATAAATTACATATTAAAATATATCCAAATAGAAAATTATTTTGCAAATTACTATTTTTATTGTATTTTTGATCTAATAAATGTAGCCTTAAAAACATTAAAAATAAAAAAATAACATGTAATAAGTGAGATATTGTACAGCCATGTGGTCATATGCAGTCAAAATACACCCCTTCAGAATGATACAAAATAAAATGATGCATTTTGTTGGCATACTGATCACCTTGTCAGGGTTTATTATTTTGCTGTAATGATCAACTGACTGTACATTATCCTTTACATACAAATCAGGTGAGGCAACATTTTTTTTCTTTAGAAAATACATTGTGTTCCGTATAAATAGAAAGTAGACTGTTGGTCACCAATGACACACCTTGCTGATGATAGTTATGACGTCTCCCTTCTTCAGGTTCAACTCGTCTTCGGCAACAGCCGTGTAGTCGAACATGGCCTGACAACATTCTTTTACTGTGGAGGAATTAAACATATATTCAGTGACCTCAAATTTACTGCCATGGTGATTAAACTTATTAGCAAATTTTCCTTAACGGATTTGCTCTGGCAGGTTTGGTGGGTGAATCTAAAAAGCACATGTTCAAAGCACTGCTCTTCTGGTGTGAAACCCTTAGGGAAGTCCTTTAAGAATAGATCTTTTCATTCACTGAGAACTGCAATAGCATTGTCTTAAGATTCTATGTGCTTTCTTTGTCACTGTTTATTATAGGAATAGTGTTACTCTGTTCTCTTCAAGTTGAAGAGTGCAACCTCAAGCTCCAGCTAAACAGCATTTTAATTATTCAACAAAAATCAACTGTATGGCATGTTTTTAGACTTCTCACCGCTTGATGTTTTCCTCCGTAAACTTGGTCTCTGTTGTCCTTTTCCCTGTAAGAAAAAAGTTATATCATAATATAGAAATAATAATAGAATAGAATTATATTATTAATTAGTGCTGTCAAACCGATTAATCGCATCTAACATAAAAGTTTGTTTACATAATATATGTACGTATATATGTCGGTGTATATACTGTATATATAGATAAACACACACGATATATAAATTTGATAATATATATATATACTGTATATACACACACACATATATTATGTAAACACAAACTTAGATGCGATTAATCGATTTGACAGCACTATTGTTAATATAATATGATATAATATGATATAATATAGTATAAAATAATATATAATATTCACTTCTTTATTGAAGACAGCTTCAGAGAGTTTAGGCCTGGCTTTGGCTTCAGTTATCTTGCCATCTGCAAACATTAAGAGGATTCAGAAAGACAGTAGCAAACATAGGGGCCATTGCCATTCACACAGAACGCATATTTGTTTTGAAAAACAAAAATGGACAAAAAAGACCCGCAAGGTCTCAAGACGCGTTTTTTACTCAACCGTTTAATTGTTTCCTGCAGGTAAAGAGATTTTCAGCATTTAGTCATTGTTTTAGGCTACTAATAAATTTTGGACTCTGTTATTTCTGTTATTTGAGGACCAGAGCTGTGCCAGTAAAAGTTAAGAGCCCATTGTGATGCTGGGTAACAAGAATAAAACAATAAGAGACATCAGTCAAACCTTAGGCTAACTAAAACCAATAAAAATCGGATATGTCTGACAGAAACACACTTCAGGAAGCATGTGTGGATTTTTACTATCTACAAAAAAACTTCTTGAGCCTATACTGCAGGATCCAACTATTGGTTCATCACAAAAATAGGATGGCCAAGCAACAGTTTGCTGTATCTTTGTCCCAAAAATTACAGAGGGCACTGTATCAATTGCAGCTATAAGATGATGCTCATTATGTGAAAGAAATGCAAATCCTTACAGCTCTAGTTTTAGTGTACAAGCTCACCTTTTGAAGGGACAAAAATTTCCTTCACAAAATTGGACGGAAAGGCTCCTATTTGGTTATTTTTCTTTCCCATCCACCATCCATCTTCAATCTACCAGACAAAACAGAATGCAGATTAATTTGTAAGCAAAAACATTTCCAACCATCATATATAAATATATAAAAAAATATTTGATTTCACATACATTTACTTATTTTGTTAAGCGGTCACGTAAAAAGCGAAATTATGTACTGTCAGACAGCCATTATCTCTCTCTCTCACACACACACACACCTTCAGTATGATACAATATTTTTTTATGTAGCCTAGCCTAGGTGCTCTAATCATATTGTCAGGGTTTATAATTTTGCTGCAATGACAGCTGACTGTCTTTACATACAAATCAAGTGAGGTATCACAATAATTTGAATAGGAGGAGTGTGAACATTCTATCCAAATAAAAATAATACAGATTTAGAAATATATATATTTTTTTGTTCATTATTTTTTTTGATGAAATATTCCATTACGTTAACATGATGAGACTACCACTTCAGCAAGTATGTAGTAAAACATGCTGCACGAAACCATTCACGTAAAATCTACTTTGCTCTTGTTGAGTTTATAGAAATGGGGTTTAATATCCTACCTCTCTGACAATCTCGATGGTCTCTCCGACAACCAGCTCCAGCTCGTCCTCGTGCAGGGAAGTGTAGGGAAAAGTCACCTCGCATTTCCTCGTCTGTACCTTTGGTTTCTTCGCTGGAGAATTTAAGTAAGTGGAAAACATATGGAACATGTCAGTACGTTCAGATGTGAGGACAAACTGGACTAGACTGCAAAAAGCACTTCTAGCTTCCACTTTTACAAGTAGCCTACTTCACTTTTATGACAAGCACTGTTTTATGGCGGATATAGGGCAGCACTAGCCTATGGATTTTGGTGAGTATAATTTGAGACCGGATGTGGAGGCACAAACCCTTTCATTAGACTGCTTATTTTAGTCTGCTAAGTTGAGATTCTTTGGACAACTTCAGACACTTATGGACCTTGGCTTCGAATGAAAAAGTTTTTGAATCTGCCACTGAAAAACTCATATGCATCTATCACAGATCTGGATATTTACGAGGCTTTATTCTTGTTGGGGACTTTGATTTATCCAAGTTAATTAAAAAGATTCGCTCACCTTCTGCAGTTTATGTCAGGAGGTGATGACAAGTGAGTGTTAATGCATGTGTATGTGCGAGTGAGTGAAGTGTGTTTGACTTGGAGAATGGAGATGCGCTGAGCAGACCGATCGGTGAATTACATAATTGATTACAAGTATCGCGAGAGTTTGATGTCATACACCAATCCTCTGAGCCGCTTCACACCTAATGATTGAATCATTGACTCAACCAATTTGTTCAAAAATGCTACTGACTTCTCAATATTTATATGACTTTTATCAAAATATAGAAACCGTACAACATGTATAATCTGTGTCATTTTAATTAGTGGTAAATTCAGGGTGATTGGGACACTTTTTCCAAGTCATCTTAATGGCAAAAAGTGTTAGCCTGGCTAACGTCAGACCACGTCTCATTGACACTGAGACGTGGTCTGGGAACCACATGTTAATTTTCTTGTATTTGAGGCGTGGTTTACGAATGCCCAGAGCCGTTTATTGGGTGCTACGAATGTCTATCAAATGCGTCTGTACGTAGCTCATAGCCAATCGTATCAATTATACCAGATGACGTATGTAGAGCGAAAGAAATTAGACGAAGAAGAAGACAATGGGTCAGAGATTTATTTGCGTTCTAAACTACTTAGAACATTAGGCTTGTTTGACTTTTACCGGCGCTGCACAGACCGATCGGTTTATGACATCAAAATACCGCGAGAGCGATTAAAAAGCATGTGGAGCCGTCTGCTCTCTAATCGCTCTCGCGGTCGTTCTGTGCAGCGCCGGTTCAAGTCGAACAAGCCTAATATCTAAGGCTGCATCAAAAGGTAACTTCGCGTCTGCTGCCATGTTGGATCCATAGGTATAAACAAACTGCTTCGGTGTGTCGCATAGACATCGTCATCGTCTTGCTACTCCCTCCCCGTTCTGTGATTGGTTCCCTAGATGAGGCGAAAATTTGGTCCATGGTATCCAAACTACCTAGCAGCGTGAATAAAATCGCGCTGCGCAAAGGCAGTATGGGGAAACCAGGCTAAAAAAGTGTCCCAATCAACCTGAATTCACCCCTATGGTCATCATCAGCATCATAATTCTTCTACCCCCATCTTGTTTAGTATCACTTCGAGAACCTTTCAGCATTCAGATTCAAATGAGACTTGCAAATGATTGATTCGTTCACTTAAAAGATGAATTCACTAACAAAATACTGTTATTTAACTTATAATGGAGACTTACATTTCCTCAAGCTTCTTGGCTCTCTGTTGCTGTCCCCTATTAGGTAAACAGGCACTTCCTGTGGGTAGAGAAAAGCTATTTTGAAAATAGGTATAGGAACTAGGGGAGCCATGGCAAGGCTTAAACATGACCATGGAAACAATGTTCTAATAGGTCCAGACCTTGACGAAGTTGCCAGGGAACATGCCTCTCTTTCCTCTCAGATCTCCCTCCAGCCATCCTTCTTCTTTGGCCTTTGAGACATTCTTTACCACATCCCCTACACACACCGTTAACTCATCTGGCATCGTCGCCTCAAAGTCTAGAAGCACAAGCACCTCTAGAATGGACAAAAGAAAGGTGAAGCCATTAGGGGTTAGTAGATTGGAGTGTTTTAAACAATATTTTGGCTTGTAAATTATGTTATCAGCTAACCTATAAGTATCTATAACACATTTTAACATATTTATATCTAAACATTTTCCCTTAAAATCAATCACAAAAAAAAAAAATCTGCAGATTTCACCTAGGCCAGATAAGATTGTTGCACTTTGTCAATCACCAGCCTTAAATTTAACGAATCACCCTACAGATAAATGTGTCTAATTATGTGAAGGCATGAAAAAACATGCCAAAGAGATAGAAGTAGTAGGATTTATGTGCCTCTCAAGCGTAATACTGGAGCTGGACATCCATGAGCAAATGAGTTTCAACAGGCCTACAGGTATGTGAGTTGAACCTGAGTGACTTGAACTAAGGAATGTATATCAGTACAAAGAGCCCTGCGCATGATTCACAATGGCATTGCATACATCTGATTTCCTGTAAGAAACCCTTTGATTGTGTGATTGGTCAGTTTGAATCTCAAGTCTCAATGACAGGCAGTTTATGGTCTGGTAAACTCATAAAAAACAACTTTTGAATGATTAAAAGATTAGTGTCACATTTGATGACATAAACTGCCATCTCAAGTTTATTTACCATATAATGTAAATTGTAATATATATAATATTAGTGAATAAATAAATACACTCATTTTGTACATCCATCCATCCATAAATGTTAGTAATAATATTAAAATATTAAGTATATACGACAAAAAGCAGCTCCTTCTAAACCATTTGTCACGTATTGCAAAATTATATTACACTTGTTATATTACATTTCCCATTAATGATGGCTACCGTATACATAACCCAAATATCACAAACACTACAACTTGCCAAATCATAACAAGAAATTATTTTAAACCAAGGCTTAAAAACTCACCCATGGCTCCTTTAAAGCTGTGCTCAGAGCACCAAGTCAGACAATGTAGATTCTGTTCAGTTCTCAAAGTGTCATGGAATCCCTGTGAATTACCCAATCCAAATACAGCGAACGCTTTCTAGGACCTCCTTCTTTCTAGTCAAACATTAGCATTGTTGAAGAAAACAAAATTCCCACCTAGTCAAGACACGTTATACAATGAGAGAGAGAGAGATAAGAGTGTGTAACAGGTGAGACAGGTTTGTATTGGTATGAACCTCCTGGTGTCATGTGTCACAGCAAACATTACTGACAGTAGGTGTACTCACCTAGAAGGAATTCAAGGAAAAACCCTATGTTTAAATATAACTGTGATTATATGAGTGTAATCTTTGTAATAAGTGTCTATTTTTTTTATTGAACATAGCAGATATATGATTGTACTGTGACTGTAGTGCTTTTATTTAGAGCCTGTCAGGCCAGTTAGAAATAATAAAGCAATTTTTAAAAGACCATTCAAATAGGTGTAGTTCACAATATGACTGAATTATGATATGATGAATAGGATTATGATTTTCTAGTTGCCACGTTTTGCGTGTTTGGTCAGGTTTAGTTTGTTTTTGACCTGTTCATGTCTGTTTCTAGATTAGTTTTAACTGTGTTCAGTTCATGTATCCCTGTGTGTCTGCATTCCTATCACCTGGTCATCTGTTATCTCGTTAGTCATGTCAGCTGTGTCTCGTTTCTTTGATTAGTCCCAGTGTATAGTTCAGTGGTCAGTTCTACATGTTGGTTGTTCTGTTCCTGAGATTATGTTTTGTTAAGATTTGAGTTCATTTCTGAATATACTGTAGACTGCTGCTCTTAGATCCTGTTTAATCTCTGCTGCAACCAACGCTGATGCTAGTTTCTTCTTTTTGACACACAAAAAAAAACACTCAATAGAAAATTGTTGCTTTTTTTATTCTTTCTGATTGTGAGTATATAAATGCAAGTCAAATGTATATATCAGACACAGTGCAAATCAGAACCCAGACAATTAAAATCCAATGTTGATTATGAATGTAAATTATTCATGTCCCCCCAATAATATTCTTTTTTAATTTTAACTCTTCAAATAAATTTCCCAACACATAAATCTTTTTATTGAAATATCTAAGGGCCAAATTGATTACTTCATCTAAAGAATGTGCTTAGCCAATAGAAAAAAGGCATAAATTAGAAAAGCCATAATAAAATATGCACACACATATTGTCAAAACCCTGCAACCCGAGAAATCAAAAATTTGTTAACAGTCTTCAAAACATTTGTAGGTACATGTAAATCTTTTTCCCCCACATGTCATTCACTGGGACATGAATGTCTACCTGCTGTTGTTTGGTCCCATTGCGAGACTGGGTCATTAAATCAAGATCTTCGTTTCTATCGGCAGACACACAAGGGTCTCAAAGAGTTTCATTTAAGCCCACAAAATGTCAATATGTACTTTTTTTCAACAGCAATAATGTCCTTTCTTAAGGCAAAAACATAGAACATAACCAGCTACAGTATTAGTTATACTGGCATTCTACACTTTAGGCACTATGGCACATCTTACGCACCTAACATTTGAACTAGTAGCCGACCTAAACAGGTTTTGTTAAAAACCGATATCAACATCTAGAAAGTAGAGTGTCCGATGACCGATATATATGGTCACCAGACGATACAATGAGTTGTACTGTATTTGTAACATTTAATAACTATTCACACACACACACACACACAAATGAAATTTCTTACTATCCATAGACAAAGCTGTCAGTAGAATTTGAAAATGAAAAAGTGGGGAAATAAACACTTCCAATAATTAAGTTCATGTGGTTATATTAATAGCCTCAACATGGCCAATCAATTGGCCTAGCCTTTATATGATATCACTCCTTCGAACTGTGTGTTTTATGTTCGCATGTTTCAAAAGTCTTGTGCAAAAAAAAGGAGACAGGATTTGCAATGGAGGCGCTTGGGCACCAATTCTTCCAGAGATGTAGGGATAGAAAATAAATGTTGGAGCAGGTGCTTTTAACAGTGTCTGTCATGATTAGATAGGAAATAGGAAATAAAAAAGCAATACAATAAAAAGGCCTCTTTCCTATCAAAAATATATTATATCCATTCTTGATGTGATGAGGGATCTCCTTGTTCTCAAAGGTCCTGTCAAAGTCTTCACTGCTCCATTCTCACTGGTCCTGTTCTACATCATCTCCTTGCTGTTCGCCCTCATCATCAGTGGCCTGGAATTTATCATGGGCCCATTTAGGGCTCGTATTATTGGTGGTTTTGGTATTTGTGGCCCTCCGTAGGATGAAACGTCCCTTTGCACGAACAATGTTACCGCGACCAGACCCGCGCGTGTTCATCAGCTTTCTCTCACCTACACCGTCTCTTTCACTGTGCTGTAAAGACAGAAGAAGGGCTTACAAAAAATATGAACTTCAATTATGTAACATATACAGTGGGACTGAAAACCTTGATGGAGAGTTAGTACGTAATGAAAACATATATAATCTGTCTCCCACCTAACTGATTATTATAATTAAAAGGTTTGGAAAGATTACTCAGTTTAAGCATAATCACCTGTGTTATGTTTGATTGTACATTGTCATAATATTACATGTACAGAACATGAATGTAACTGATAGGTTGCATGGAGCATAACCTACTGTATGTTTGTTGTTCTTGATATGCATATTATGTTAATCTTTTCTTTTTTGGTTGTTCAGAAACTGCATTAGAAAAGAGATTAAGAATGGGTGTTTACAACGATCACAACATACTAGGAAGTATTTCTTGCTCTTGGGAGTGTATTCTTGATCCCAGTCTTCATTCTTTGCTGACATGTTCATCTGTGAATCACCGTTGCCGTTTCCATGGAAATTTCCTCGGTTCCAACCTCTACCACGTATGCTAAGCTGCTAAGAAACAGCAAATGGTAACCGTAACTATTAAAGCAATAAACAAAAATCTTAGTTCTTCAATAGCACTCAACTTACAAAGCCTCCTCGTGATCTTCCTCTCTCCACAGGCTCTCTAAACCCCAGCTGGACTCTGGATGAGCTTTCTGGCTTGATCTCAGCCTCTTCTTCATGGTAAGCAGACGAAGATGAGGAAGATGACTGAGAACGCTCCCGTTTCTTCTTGCTTTTCCTTAAGAATTAAATAACATTAGATTCAGACATTGTTGATCAATGTAAAGAGGTCTCAAAAATCGACTGGATCAGCAATAACAGCTTTTGTCTTTCATGTTCAACGTGACTTTATCAGCTCATTTTCTTGTCCACTAACCAAAAAGTCATCTTTACCTGTAGCCTACCTGAAGTGGAAGGAAATCAGGACATTTTCAAACACCTGACAACCTATATTCGGCATATTCAAAATATCCAATTGACCAGAAGGATGCGTTCACACTGACAGTGATGTAATAGCTGAAGGTGACCAAGTTGCTTTTCTGTTGGGCACAAGTAGGTGTTCCTACTTGAATACAGTACACAACTGTATCAGGGAGTCAATCATTTGAGCTCTGCTCCCATTGGTAGTTGCTGTATGGTATTGCAGCTCATATGCAAGTTCAACAGCTCAACATTCGCTCTGCCCAATGATTTCTGTCACTCATGTCGCCTCACGTCACCAACTCTCATTGAAAATGATTGACTTATTGTTTCTGCAGATTGCTGACAGTGTGAACGCACCTTCAGGCCTTTTTGAAAGTGTTTATTGAAGGCCTCCTGAGAGGTTTGACGGTGTCATCTTGTTAAATCTTTACATGACTCAACCAGATTCTTTGAATGTTGAAGCAAGTACATTTTTATCTGATATTGCAAATTTAATGGTTGATCAAAACTGCAGTTTTCAACTACACTTAGAGAAGTTATTATCACTTGAGGAGTTACAACAAGCCCAAACAGAAATATGACTAATAGCTGTTTAAGCGGTTTTCTATAACTGAACCTCTGTATTCACAATCACTCTGTAATGTCTTTGGAGCATCTTTTCTTATGCAGCTTACTTAGTTTTTTTGTGGTTCTTTGAGGCTTTCTCTGTGGATGTTTCCTTTCTTGGTTCGGGAGATTCCCCCGATACTCTTTCTCCGTACTCTTCCCCTCTTTGCTCTCTCTCTCCACTCAAGTATTTCTTTCTGCGCTCAATATCCAGCCGAAGGTCCATTGAATCACTTTTCGATTTTTTACCATCGACCTGCCGTGAGGAGAAAGAGAGATGTTGTGGCCAGATGTGGGTTAGCGGCGTGACCTATTAGCTTCATGCAGCATTGTACGGGGTGGGACCAAAACGAAAAACACAGCAAAAGCTGACTTCAAACAATCATGCAAATGGATGAAAGGAAGAGGCCATTTCTAATATCATTTTATGTAGCATTTTGGCTTCTTACAGTCTTTCAACAGGCTTATTATTTTCTCAGAAATGGCAACAGGTCGCAAAATAACATTCGGATTTCCTCTCACTTGCTCATCGAAATCAAAAGATATTCAAATAAACGAAACAAAATAGTAGTAGGCAACATTATAGGACCACAGCAGAAATACTTTCATTGGTGCTCATGAAAGTATGTTGTTTTTACTTTGCCTAAACACCTCACTTGTTCTTTGCAGGCTTTGAAGAAGAATACTTACTATGACTTTTGTTTAGAGTCCTTTGAATGGATTTGACATGGGAACAACTGGTCACTTCCATTTCTGACCTCTGATTTCTTGCCTCAACTGCCTTAGGAAGGCTTGTAAAAGGGAAGGCATTTACAACACAACAACCTGAATGCACCTCTTTTTGCATCTCACTTTTTGGACTTTATGCCTCTCTCATCAGAAACAAGAGTTTTTAGAGAGAGAAGGAAGCCTAAGAATGCTTTGGCCACATCACTCGCGCAGCATTCTTTTCCAAAATACGTCATATTTCAAAATTTTTGGTCACCTTGAAGTTGTTTTCCATGGTGCTTTTCATCTCATCAAACAGAAGAGAGTGCCTCTTAAAAGCACTGGGAGAAACATCAATTCTCCTGTGAAAAAAAAGAGGTGAAGAGTGGAATATTTTGATATATGTTGATCCTCCTCCTTTCTTATAGTCTTAGAAATTGTCAAAACAAATAAATCGCTCATACGTGCATGAGAAATCAGTGTGGGAATTTGTCCTTGAAATTTTTATACCTGTGTATCTCTGGACTCTTTCTCTGCTTAATGAGTTCTTTCTCAGCAGCTCTTCTCTGGTACATGGCAAAGCGGTCATTTAGGGTCAATCCAGAAGAAGGAAAATATTGAGCTGTGGGCAGAATTATTTTATTTTTGTCATTAAATAAATAAAGTGTAAAAAAAATACTAAAAAAGATTTAGGGGAGTGTTTACACAATTAAAAATGTAAAACTTTTTGGCCGTTCATTTCCACGATAACAGCGTTTGAGGGCCTGAAAACGCAACCTTTTAAAAATTATACCGTGATCATCTCCGTGTAAACTACAAAACCGCGAATTTGTGAAAAAGGTGACATCATGCGCATACGTATTATGCGTTCAATCAAAACGCGTTCAACCAAAACGACAATGGCGGACCCATTATGTATATGTATATTTGTCCCATTATGAATGACATATAAAAAAACAAGTCTGCAGTAATTAAATTATGGGTGTATCATTGTATCATTTTTGTAATTTTACAGAGGAGTGATGGAACAATACAAATACTACGGCCATAACAACCTTCTCACAACCTTAGCTGTACAAGACAGAGAGGTTTCAGTCACCTTTAATGTGATGGACAATTGAAACTATGTGTTGGGCAAACAGCTCAGATGGACTTCTGGGTGACTGCTGAGCCTGAAGATGCTGAAGGACAGCTTGAAACTCCCAATCCTTTTCATCAAGATGCACAAGCTCCAGAAGATGCCTTCTTTCATTGGTCAAAACAGATGTTCTGTCAAATAGAGACAAAATGAAATATATTTAATATGTGATAGTCAGAAGCAGTCACATGCACAACAATGCAATGTTTTGTGAAGATGCAAGTAAAAGCAAAAGGTCATTTCTGAGATCTTGGAGGGAAACGGAAATCATTTACCTAGCAAGGTCATCACTGAGAGAATCCATCCTTACACTGAATTCACTTCCTCTTTTCACGGAAGCTCTTGGTGGGGATTCCTCGTTCATAACCACAAACATCTCTTGCTCGCGGCTCTCAGAACTCCTCCTGGGCAGCAGTGTGGGTTTCTCTTTTCGTTTCACATTTGAGAGCTTTTCAGGGGATGGATCCTTGAGCATGCCACTCAGCTGGTCTCTCTTAGAGAGAGCAGCTAGGATTTTCGCTGCTCTTTCCTGTTTATGGCAGAGCAGGAGAGCCTCCAGCTCATCATCCCATGGCATGTCCTGCATCCTTCTGATTCGCTTCTCGAACATTTCACGAGCGGACAGCGTGACTTTGCTTTTTCTTTTGGAGGGATAGTTTTCCATATCCCTCACTCTATCAGAGATCTCCCCTTCTTCGTCATCGTCCTCACCATCCTCGCACAGAAATGTTGGGCCGTTTCGTGGACCCATTTTAGGGGTGCTTATGGATAACTTTTTACCATCACCACTCTTTGCAGATTTGCATTTCTCCTTCTCTCCTGCGTTGTCATGATCTTTAGTGCGAGACAACTCAATGCCCTTTTCAAAGGTTCCTCCATTTTCTTTATCACATACTAATTCTCTGTTACTTTTCCCTTTGTGTGTGTTGTTCTCACATTCAGAGGCCTGTTTTTTAACCTTTTGCTCCTCCAGGAATCTGGTAAATGAGAGAAAGAGATTTACAGTTCATTATTATTTACAATAATGTGCTCAGATGCATCAGTTGTCATTTTGATGTGACCAAGGATTGCTGCTTCATGTCAAACTGACAGAACTATGCATAAACTGTAATGGATTTGGTTCATTTTACCGTGCACAAATGAATGGCTTCCAGTCTGAAACAGGTAAACAAGTGTGTGTGCAGCTGGGAATATATCATTTCGTCCATTTGCAAAGTGCAAATATAAACCTTTTAGACCTTTTTAGCACATCTAAATTACAGACTGTGAGCTGACATTTGTAAACAAGGCATATCTAGCTCTTCATATTTGGCTCATTCTTCCAACCGCTCTTTTGATGCATTTGAAGGGCAGATTGCAAACCATATTATGCAATCTTACTTTTTGTCTGGCACGCACACAGGATTTATTGTGTTACTTCCACTCTTATAACTGACTAAAATAAAGGTAAAAAAGAAAAAGAAAATAAAGCAATATTCAAATGCATATAGTCCATCAAATATATAAACATCTGTCATCAATATAGCTTAAAAGGCTTGAGAAAAATACCCAGCCCTAGGACAAACAAGTTAAATAATATAGATTATTGGTTAAAAGTTTGAAATGATTAAGATTTATTAATGTTTTTGAAAGAAGTCAAGGCTGCATTTATTTGATCAAAAATACAATAAAAACAGAATTTGTAAAATATTAAATATTAAAATAACTATTTCATTATTATATATTTTAAATGTAATTTATTCCTGTGATGGAAAAGCTGAATTTCCAGCAGCCATTAATCCAGTCTTCAGTGTTACATGATCCATCAGATGGATCATGATGATTTGGTGCTCAATTTGATTATTTATTAATAATGTTTCTTATTATCATCAATGTTTAAAACAGTTGTTGCTGCTTAATATTTTTGTGGAAACTGTGATAATTTTTTTCAGGATTCTTTGATGAATAGAAAGCTCAATGGATTAGCATTTATTTGAAAAAATCTTTCATAAGAAGACATTATTAATTTCTTTACCCTCACTTTTGATTAATTTAATGTGTCCTTGCTGAATAAAAGTTTTTTTTTTTATCTTACTTACCCAAAACTTTTGAATGATAGTATATCATGGTTTCCACAAAAATATTAAGCAGTAACGATGTTTTCTTGAGCACCAAATCAGCATATTATTATGATTGTGATATAATACTTCAGCTTTGCTATAACAAGAATAAATAAATTACATTTTAAAATATATTCAAATAGAAAAAAAGTTATTTTAAATTGTAATAATATTTCACAATATACTGTTTTTATTGTATTTTTGATCAAATAAATAGAGCCTTGGTGAGCATAAGAGAATCTTTTCAAAAACATAAAAAATGTATTACTCCAAACTTTTGACCGGTAGTGTAAAAATGGATAAATGAACAACATAAAAAAAAGAATTATTACAAGTTACCCATACTTACTTCAAAAATGCAGCGGAGATAGCAATTTTATCATCTGTCTGTTGGTCAATATTTGTAAAGAGCCCAAAACCATTGAAACCTGGGCTAAGGCTTTTCTTTATGGGGCTGTTGTTTGAAGGTGCAGTTGCAACTTTCTGCCAGGTGGTGGCACCTTTATTTGGAGCATTTGAACTCTTATGAGCAGGACTTGTCTCGTTGCTTGCAGAGTCAATCGGTTTGTCATTAGTGACAGAGGAGCAAACCTGCAGACTTGTCCTTTTAGGACTAGCGTCATGGTTCGTCAAAACCTGAGAGTTCTCCAAAGTCCTGTCTCCATCAGCATTCCCTTCGGCCGAAGAAGAGCCTCCCACCTGCTCTGCCAGAGCCCCATCTCCACCTCCTCGAGTTTCTTCGGGCACTGAGACACCCTCTCTTATATCTTTGCAAGTGCTTTTGGCAGACCCAGAGTTGGAGGAGGAAGAGTGCTGCGACTGTGGCGATCTCCCGGAGGATGACCTGTCAGAGCGGCGGGAATGGCTGCGGGGATGCGGGCTGCTCGACTGCTTCTTGGGAGAGCGTGAACGGCCCCTCTTGGGGCTGTTGGGGTAGTACTGCTTCTGTTGCTGCTGAGGGTACTGCCGGAAGTTTTGCCAGTTTTTGTGATGGTAGTTGTTATATCCACCCCTTCCACCACGCTGAAAACGGCCGCGGAAAAATCCTTGACCTCTGCCCCGGAAATAATATGGCCTCCGGAAGCCTCTGTGGTTGCCCCGAAACTCCCGTTGGTTCTGGTACTCCCGTGTTTGGTTCCGTTCACGGTTGTGGGGCGGGGAATGGGATCTTGATCGAGAGCGAGACCTAGAGCTTGAAGACAACAAGAGGAAGGATTGAGCCAACAAAAATACTTGGGATATAGAAAATGACACAAAGAGGCATTACATATGCAATTATTTTCCAAGGAACAAAATAAAATAATTTTAAATACAATTTTACATAGATTTTTTTCCATACAACTAGAGGTCATGGTGATCATGGGCTTTAAAACTCCAAATAGGTAAATAGAAATACATAAAAGTAGTCCATACAACTACTTCTGGAGCTTTAATTCTCTGCGTGTGGAACAACATACCAAAGATTATTAGTACTCTTCACCTCCTCTGCGGATCTTAAATCAAATGTTAATCAAATGTAATTTGGTTTTGATGTCAAGAGATTTGGTTATGAGACGCTTGAGAATGCATAGAGTTTGATGTTATTAATGTTCATAATTCAGATTAACACAAAATAATGGCTTTAAAGGGTCTCTTCCTCACACAAAAGCTTAAGCTAAAATGGCAATCAATAGAGCCATACAATTAAAACTATCAACTATTTAAGATCAATAATTTGTGTATGTCAAAAAAATTCTTTCAGGTAACAAACACTGCTGATATTAAAATCAAAAGAAATTAAAAGCTCTTGGTGCAAAGTCAACTGTAGCCATACGGTGGCCCTGTTGTTCTATTTATGAACAGATCTAAGTAGTTCTGGTCTCTTTGTAAGCCAGTCACTTTTAGCACGTCTTAACATATCACAAACACTGATAATCAACTAAACAACTTGCACATGCAAGTACTTCATACTGCATTGCACCCTGTTCTATAGAATTTTGAATATAATCTCATTGGAAGATTAACAGACACTGAAACATTTCAATATTATGCACACATCAACTGTATTAGAATATCAAATCGTAGAAGTCATGCAATTATGTCTAGAATTGCATTAAAACATGCCATTCTAATGCAGTGGAATTTCTTCATCATTTGGAAAGTGAAACAAAGCCTCGCAAATTATTATTCAAGTAAAGCACCCTGCAACCAATTTACCATCCAACAAACATAATGACAGTAACACTACACTAACCTACATTGATCTACAGTTTCGACTGGTTTTCTACTCACCCTTTGCGTTTTTTCATTGGAATACAGAGTAAGAAGGTAGTGCACAGAGCAACATGATACTCTCACAGTGAGCAAGAGGGACTTTGCATCTCCTCTAGTGAGCGTGGATGGAAAGAGTCAGTCACATGGGTCATATGGGAAAGATTTCTACTCTCTTTCTACGAAGCAAAGAGGAGGTTCTCAGCCTGCCAGTTACAACACATTAGCTTTGCACAGACAGTAAACTGAAGTTAAAATGAAAATTCTGTAATTATTTAGTCTCTCTCATGCCGTTTCAAACCCATATCATTTTCTTTCTTCTGGGAAACACAGAAGCAGACATTTGAATTGTAGCCTACTGGTTGCACTTTTCCCTGTTATTACAATGAATGGAGTTTCAGGCATTTAATCTTCAAAAATCAGCACAAATGCAGCATAAAAGTGGTCCATATGAATCGTATGCACTGAACGCCAAAACTTCTTAAGTCATACGATAGCTTTGTGTGAGAAACAAACCAAATCTAAGCCATTCTTATTATCTCCTATAGACCTTATGCACCAGAGAAACAAGGACGCCGCCATCTTTAGAATATTGTCTCTGAACTTCCGTTTTTGCAGTCGATCTGTATATCTCTGTGGCATTGCTGTCCAGGAGTTAGCTTTTGAAGTGGATTTAATTTACTTAATGTAAAGTTAACGAAAGTTATCATGAGGATTGTAGCAGATGTCTTAACAAATATCAGTAGACCGGGAAGATTTTAAAACGAGCCGTTCATTCATAAATAGGCAAGATCGCTATGAAAATACAGACCGGAAGACAAAAGACAACGAGCGCAGCGCTGAAAAGGGGCGGGGCTACATAAGGTCTATAGCTCTCCTTGATGTTCATGAGAGAAGAGAATTTATCTGAATTGTGACTGTCTGAATCAAAATTTCAAATCAGATCTTTTCAGTGAGTTGGAGGAAACAGTTCTCAAAACTGGTCTGAATGAATAATTTATGACTCAATGATCCGGTAACAACAGGCAACAAGATTCTCACTGAAATTTTGGTCTGTTAATCACACAAAAGTTATTATATGACTTAAAATATAGTGCAAAATTCATATTGATGACTTTTATAGTGATTTTTAAATCTTGAGACCTTTAGTCCCCACTTGTAGAATCACATGAGAGTGAGTGATGATCTTTCTATTTTTTTATATTTATATTTATTAATGGAATTTTACATCCTACACTCATGACCCATGAGTTTTATTGGGACATTTTGACTACATTCAGAACCATGCAGCAATGTTTCATTTGCATGGCATACGTGTCAAGTTTTTTCCAGCTGTGGCATCTCTGCTTTGAAACTGGTCAGCAATGAGAGCCCAGGCTCGCAAGATTTCCCTTGCAAATAAGGGACATCAGATTTTGCAAATTTGCATGAAAAATCAACAATGTACTTTCCGACTCAGCTCAAAGTACACTGTCAACCACACAGGAAAAAGGATCCATGCTTATGAGGGGAAAAAGAAAAATGCATGCTCAATAAATGTAAAACAAAAAACCTGGTTACCACAAGTATCTATCCATTTTTGTCTAAAACAGTGCGGTTTTTGGCAGGAACAGTTTACATTTGGCTACCTAAGAGCCTCTACTGTGCTGTAAGCACAAAACCAGAAGTCCTAACAGAATGTGCAGGGAAGTACAATTTTAGCATGAGAAATAAGAAAGTGCGGTGAGCCTTTCCAAAGCCACAGCCCTTCCCAAATATCAGACTTGACGCAATGCTGATGAATACATGGAGAGTAAAATCACAGTGACTGTGCAGCCCCTTTTCAACAAGAGAGGAAGCCAGAGTAAAGGCATTATAAAATACAGGGTACTTTTATTTATGTACAGAGGTGTACCTTACATAACTTTGGCCTGGCAGCTGTGGCTAAATGGATGACACTGGCACTGAAATATTGATTTTAATTTAAAATGAGTCATGGATGGGAAACTGAGCATGAGTCACATGGTGTGTTTTTACAATAAAGTTCCATTTTGTGTTTACGTACAAAGTGAGAAGTTGACAGTGAGTTTTCCATTCAACTCAATCCTTAAGCACATCTGTCAAGGCACAGTGAGCCTTATTGTGTTTAGATTTGTGCATTGTAGTACGGTCAGAATGAGTAGTTAAAGTTCATTGTTCATCAAGCACAAGATTAAAAGCAGACCCAGACGGATTCTGAAGCCACATTTTCTGCGTTCATTTAAGTAGAATTGTGTACTGATTCCATCTGGGCCTGATTGCAAGACAGAAAAAGAGCCTAAATGAATCAGCATGGATGACTCAATAGTCAGTAAAATTTAAACGATTACACCAGATTAGTTTTTAAGTGATAATTTAATTAGTTTTTCCTCTTATTATTATTACAAAATGTCCCTTCTTTCCTATTCATTCTGTTGTGTACTAAAATACACAACACGTCATTGAAAGTGATGACTGAAACTGAAAACTGAAAAATCGGACTCAAAACTGAAATCGAAAATCGAAACCAACTCCCCTTCATCCCACATACCAGCTTTGTACTGTGCAGTAAAGTGTGACGGTCTCATTTTTAATTGACAGTATATTTTGCATGCCATAGTAATCAACAAAGCCAGTAGATGCTATTTAATTATCATAATGGACACTTACCAATATCTGCGCTTTCTTGATCTAGATCTGGAGCTGGAGCGGGAGCGGGAATAAGAATGGGATCTTGATCTGGAGGCCGATCGAGAGCGAGACCTGGACTCTGATTTTTGCGTCTTAGACATTGTCGTTTGTAGTCTCTCTCATATGTGGCTGTAACAAAACAAAAAGCATTCAGAACAGCAAATTACTAAAAAAGAAGATACTAATCATTAAGTAATGAAAACTACTCGTATAAAGGTGTTTTATATTTTTTTAATTAATTATTATTTCAGAAAAATAGCTAGGAAAAAAATTGTGTTTATATAGTGTAACAAGGGCTGAACTTTAAAAAACATTTTGTTAATCCCCACTCTCCGGGACATTAAGAAGGTTTGGCTGTGCAGTATTAAAGTTTCCATAGCTCATCACAGTTTGTCAGGCTAAAACACTAAAGGTTTGTTTAAAGGCACAGCAGGAACTAATTGAGAAATAAGGAGCAAGCATCATTCTACAGGCCTGTTCTTAAAGGGATAGTTGACCCAAAAATGAAATTTGGCCCATCATTTACTCACCCTGAAGCATAGGTGTACATGACATTCTTCTTTCAGACGAATACAATCTTGAGTTATATAAAAAAATGTCCTGGCTCTTCCAAGCTTTATAATGGGAGTCAATGGGTATAATTTTTTGGAAGTCCATCAAGCGCATCCATCCATGATAAAAGTGCTCGAAACTGCTCTGGTGGGGTTAATAAAGGTCTTCTGAAGTGAAGGGATGCGTTCGTGTAAGAAAAATATATCCATATTTAACCGGCAGACGGCCGTACGTAAGTCGATTTACGCCTAAAGAGTAACCCTTGAACTTGACGCACAACGTATTGACGAACGCGGTTCCCCAGCCCTGTTTGTTTGAACTGCGAGAGGCGTCAAAGCTTACGCTACGTCATACATCGTCTAGAGTAACTCTTTTGGCGTAAGTCGACTTGCGTACGGCCGTCTGCCGGAAGCTAGTTATTTTAGTCGATAAAGCATGTTTTTCTTACACAAACGCATCGCTTCACTTCAGAAGACCTTTATTAACCCCCCAGAGCCGTTTCGAGCACTTTTATCATGGATGGATGCGCTTGATGAACTTCCAAAAAAATATACCCATTGACTCCCATTATAAAGCTTGGAAGGGTGAGGGTGAGTAAATCATGGGCTAATTTTCATTTTTGGGTGAACTATCCCTTTAAAGTTTATGTGAGTGAAAGATAATCAACAGTCATTATTCATTATTGTAAACAATAATTTGCAGTCTGTTTATTTTGCGATAATACTAGCTTACTGTACAGTATCCTACTTATTGCACAGCTACTCATCAAATAAATAAATACTTGGACATTACTGATTTCAATCAATAATCTTACCTAATACCTATACATTATCTTAATATTTTCTGCCCAGAAAAAAAAACAGTCATTACAACACTAGAACCAGTCTAGCAATAATATGAACAACACAACAATATTACAAATAGAAACTTCCGTTTTATACCGACTTTAAGTACACAGTCTTGTACCTTTGTCTTTTATGGTTTTCAAATACTTTTTCGCTTCAAATCAATGTTTGTAATGTTGTAATTCACCTCGTAGCTGGCTGGTTTGATTCATGGCTTAAAACTCTTAAACAAATACTTTTAAAAGATCCATATGGGAAAATGGGAATAGGAAAAACACTTCCGCAACCAAGGCCTCTGTAAAAGTGGACAGGCACCGTTGCACTCGATTAGGAAGTATCAGAGTGCTGAAGGCCTCCTTCCTTTCCCTTCACCTCTGTACAGATAAAACGTTGTCAAAATAATTCCGGTTCGCATGGGATTTTTTTTCTGTATAATGAATTTTTAAGGCCAGACAGATAGTTTGTTGAGGTCAATTTGTAAAGAAAGACTACACGCCTGCGCACACATATATTCAAATGTGCATATCTATAGACTAAACACGTAATACGCATGTGCACGCCGTCTGCGTTTTCACATAATCGCGTTTTTGAAGTTTGACTAACTTTTTTTTATTATCCAACGCCTGCACCTTGGAACCTATTTTAAGGTTTGCGTTCTCGAGCCACCAGGCACTGTTGTCGTGCAAATGAGAAGGCCAGAGCGCATTAAGGGTTTTCTGTTAGAACGGTGTCGTGTAAGCGGCCACTAAGTTAATAACTAATGATCTTTGCAATGGAAGTGCATCAATCAAAACTAACTTGAGCTGGACAATAACTTTATTCTAGAGCTGCTGTAAAGCCAAAACAATCTGTGTTACTTTAATTTCCTATTATCACTGTAAAGCTGCTTTGAAACAATCTATATTGTTAAAAGCGCTATGTAAATTAAGGTGACTTGACTGAATGTCTCAATTGACCAATAAGAATCAAGTATTTTAGAGCGCTAAAACAGTTTATGTAATCTTTAAAGCTGCAGTGTGTAATTTATGTACCAAAAGTAATGGGTAAAACAATGACTGGGGGAATTGACTAACAAACGGCTTACTTATGGGAT